AGCCTCGGTCTGTACCATTCCCAGCACTCACCACACACTGGCATATATATATATATATATATGCTCTTGTCCCTATCCCTGAAACCCGTTTCTTCTTCTGGGTGATTCTTGGCAACCTTAAGAGTTGGTTCAAGCGCAGAGACTTAGGGAGCCTGCGTGGGAGCAACCTAAGCCATCTGCATGTGTGTGACAGTTCTGTAGCTTGGTTCTGAGGCTCGTAGCAGCGAGATCGTGATCCATCCCTGGCTTGCTTAGCTGGCTTTTGGGAACCTGTTTCCCCATGCTGGATTACTTCGCCCAGCCTTGATACAAGGGGAGCTTGGTCCTGCATCCACTTGAGGTGTCATACTTTATTTATTATTTATTGTTATTTATTATGTGCCGTGCCCATGGGAGGCCCGCCCCTTCCTGAATGGATGGGGAAGGTAGGTAGATGGGAGGTGAGGGGGAGGGGCTGGGAGAGGAGGAGGGAGGGGAAACTGTGGTTGGTATGTAAACTAAATAAAAATTTAATAAAAAAGAGTTGGTTCAATAATTTCTGCAATAGGTCTCTCTGTAGAGATGGTAGACACCCTCTGTGGATGCACAACACACTCTCTGTAACCTCACAGACTGCTGGCACCCACTGTTTAGCCTCTTGAGAGGTAAGGCACGCCTTCTCCTTGCACACCAAGTGCGGCACTGGTGCCATTCAATGAAGAGACGGATATCCAACTAAATACGGAGAATCTGCTACAACTTTGCAGCCCACCTGAGGACACTGGACATCTAGATCCTCTGATAATTTAAAAATGTGGGAGAAAGGTGACCTAATTCAGAGAGCTTTACGTACGACTAATAATAGAGTTAGATTTTGCAGGGAAAAGAAAAAGATGATTCCAGATCCCGACAAGTATTTTAAAGATAAGTGGAATCGTGAATTATAGGCTCAATGTCCTTTATTTATGACTAGAATTCACTTGTGAGTGCATACCATATTCATCTTTTTGGGTCTGGGTTATCTCACTCAGTAAAGTGTTTTCTATTTCCATCTATTTGCATGCAAAATTCAAGAAGTCATTGTTTTTTTTACCGCTGAGTAAAACTCTAAAGTGTATATGTGCCACACCTTCTTTATCCATTCTATTGAGGGGCACCTAGGTTGTTTCCAGGTTCTGGCTATTACAAATAGTGCTGCTATGAACATAGTTGAACAAATGCTTTTGTAGTATGATTGGGCATCTCTTGGGTATATTCCCAAGAGTAGAATTGCTGGGTCCTGAGGTAGGTTGACTCCTAGTTTCCTGAGAAACTGCCACACTGATTTCCAAAGTGGTTGCACAAGTTTGCATTTCCACCAACAATGGATGAGTGTTCCCCTCATTCCACATCCTCTCCGGCATAGGCTATCATTGGTATTTTTGATTTTAGCTATTCTGACAGGTGTATCTCAAAGTTGGGACTGAGCTCCCAAGGCCCAAATGAGGAGCAGAAGGAGGGAGAACATGAGCAAGGAAGTCAGGACCGCAAGGAAGTCAGGACCGCAAGGGATGCGTCCACCCACAGAGATGGTGGGACTGATCTAATGGGAGCTCACCAAGGCCAGCTGGACTGGGAGCGATGGAGCATGTGATCAAACCGGACTCTCTGAACGTGGCTGTCAATGGAGGCTGACTGAGAAGCCAAGGACAATGGCACTGGGCTTTGATTCTACTGCATGGACTGGCTTTGTGGGAGCCTGGTTTGTTTGGATGCTCACCTTCCTAGACCTGGATGGAGGGGGGAGGACCTTGGACTTCCCACAGGGCAGGGAACCCTAACTGCTCTTAGGACTGGAGAGGGATAGGGAGGGGGAGTGGGGGAGTGGGAGGGAAATGGGAGATGGGGAGGAAGTGGAAATTTTTAATAAATAAATAAATAAAAGGAAAAAAATAAGCAGAGAATCGCTTTAGAGACTGTCAGAAGGGACCCTGGCTTTGGCGATCAGGTTCATGTAGTAGGTGTAATTCCTACTCTGATTTTCAGTCTAGACAGTAGACTTCAATGGTTCAGCAAGAAAAAAAATTACAGGTTTAAAGAAATTGAGTTTATCAAAAAGAAAAATGGATCCCCCCCCCGGAGCACCAAACCCCCAGGATTCTGGCGGGACTGCATTCATAGCCCAATCCCTCTTTGTTTCAAACCTTTGAAGACAAGAGTCTTGCTAGTTTGCCCAGACTGGCCTTGAATTTGCTTTGGACTCAGCCGGGCTTTGGGTTTTCCATCTTCTTGCCTCTCCTCCTCCTGGGTCACCTGTTCCAGGCCTGGTAACCCAGGCGCAGCCTAACGCTACCGTTTGATTAATCATGCTCCTGAATATAGAACGTTGTTGACAATCTCGAGTATTTTCGTTTGCCTCTGCAGTCAAAGTGACTATTTTCTGTTAACACCTTTCTTTGCGTTACTAATTACGACCTCAACAGGAGAAACGGGAGCATGCGCTCTCTTACTCCTCTGCACCCCCATTTTCTCGTGTGGACAACTGACTGGATAGCTTCACAGATCCTCCATGGACCCTCTTCCATGGGTATCGAATTCCTCTTTTGGGGAAGGGGGTGGGCGGCACGTTTGGGATCAAATCCAGACACTTGATCATTTGCGCATGCTCGGCAAACGCACTGCTCTGAACTCCGTTTTCGCCTGTCTGGGTAAGCTAGCCGGCAGTGCTCGCCTCTCAGGAGCATTCCCTTTGGCTGTCAGAACTGTCAAGCGTTAACCTATTTTGTACATGTAAACCCTAACCTGAATTTAATTAAAGACTCTCACTCCGTTTCCACCTTCAAGAGACTGGAGAGATCTTGCAAAAATATGATGAAAATCAAAGGGGGAAAACATCTTATTTATGCTTTTATTTAAGAAACGTAGATTGCAGAGGTATGGTTTCCAGGAACCGCAACCTAAGCCACTAAATTTGTGGAAACCACAATTAAATAATCAAGGAAAGCATTGATCTCTTCATCTGAACGGGGCCCCAACACTTTTCACTATATAAATAACCTAAAATGCCCCAGGCGTGCCTCTGTGACCCCTGGCTTCTGCTCTGGCAAAGTATTTGTACCAAAGGGACCCACAGGCCTCCTCCACGTGGGTGTCAGCACCGGGGCGGAACCGGCCTTGCTCAACACATTTGGGTACCAACGGTGCTCGGAGAAAATGACATTTAAAGTTTTCCCTTTCTCCAGCCGAGGACACGGAAGACTAGAGGGAGGCATGAGTAATTTAGGACCTTTCTCCCTGGATCTTTCCACCCTGTCGTTAACTCCTCCGCTCTCGGTCTCCCACGCCGCAGCCGTTAGTTACCTCCATACGGGAAGCCAGGGCCTCTCGGTTGCTGCCTGCTCCAGCCATGGAGTCCAGGGCTCGCGGGTGCTGCTGGGACTGAAGCAGGGATCCTGGGGGGATGGGGAGCTCTTGGAAAGGTAGGCTACTGTCAACAGAACCAAGAGCCCAGAGCCACAAAACTTGGATGATCTCAACATTAACCCACTCCCGTGAAAGAGGCAGGCAGCTCAGCCACCCTGATGTCCAAAGCCGTCGGGAAGATGTCGCGAGCCCGAGTTCATTTGCTCAAAGAAGCATTTCTCAAAGTAGAGTCCCCTGCGACGAAATACTTGTACTTTGTGGACCCTAAGGCCCCCTCCCGCTTAGACCCATTCTTCATGGTAAGTCGTCTGTTAAGGATGCTCAGTCTCGGAGTTAGTGTTCAGCGTGTCTGCAACTCTAAACTGATGCTCCAACGAGCTAATGCAAAAATGGGTTTCTCTATGTGTGGTCAGACCAATCTGACTTACTGAGAAAATAAATCTACGGTTTTTTTGTTTGTTTGTTTAGGACTGGTGTGTATGTGTGATACAATTTCTTCCTGTTTTTGCTTCTTGGTGAGCTGTTACTTCTCAGTTTGTCCAGTGAAAGAGGATTAACTTGGCTTGGACAAGGACTCCAAGCTGCGCTAGGGATGAGAATGTGGGTTCTGACCCCAGCATCCCTGCCTCAAAACTCACAGCCACAGGAGGAGAAACTGGGTTCGCAGCCTGAGCCTACAAACCCAGCAACAGCCAGACAGCCTGGCGGAAAAATCAGTGAGCTCCACGTGGCCAATGCAGAGGGCAATACTGTAGAAATACTGCCCTCTTCCACCCTCCTCTTCATGAAGGCTAACACAAACCAATGAGCACCGACACCACGCGTGCGCACGCGCACACACACACACACACGGACACGCACACACCAGCAAGAAGCCCCATCACAAGGTGAGTCAGAGAGGCGTGGGAAAGAGCAGTATGTGGGTCACAGCAAACCCAAGTTTGGTGGGGAAACACTGAGCAACAGGAATAGCTCCAGGTATCATAATTTCTATGTAACACAAAGATGAAGAATTCATAGATGACTCATGAGAACTGTAGATGGTATGTGGAGACACCATGCCCACTACAATGTATCATACTTTACATACCAAAAGGCACTCATTAAACAAATCGTGTTCCTTTTTTTTTTTTTTTTTTTTTTTTTGGTAAAGTACTGAAACATTGTCCTGTTTTGTGAGTGAATACATGGGAGAGAAAAAAAAAAGGATGGTAACCTAATTTTTCTGTTAAAAATGTTGATCTTCCCATGTATACTTTCTGACAAAATCTGACCCTAAAGCTAAAATATTATCATATTGGAGAGGCAGCGATACCTTATTTGGTCATGTTTTCATTCTCTACCTCTCCACCTGACTTGAAACTTCCACTGAAAACTCTTTTGTGATGTGTCAGCTGAGCTGTGTGGGTAAATTCTCTCTAAACAGTTAACTTCATAAGTCCGGCGCCCAAGGGCACACCCGTCCTCTCCTGGGGGGCCTACAGTTTGTCAGGCGCCCAAGGGCACACCCGTCCTCTCCTGGGGGGCCTACAGTTTGTCAGGCGCCCAAGAGAACACCTGTCTTCTTCTGTGGATCCTACAACTCACACCTAGTTTGAAGGCTAGGTATGAGAACAAAATCAATACTGCATATTATTTATTTATATATAAACTTCAAAACAGTTTTTCAGTATACAAATAGGCTAGTAAATCCTCATTTATAAAACAATCATTTTGATACATGATAGTACAAAAATGGTTGAAAACCACATCAACGTCAACAGTTAATAACTGTCAGAAGCTTAATCATGAACTTTCTGGAAGATGGGTTAAATGGTGAAAAAATGGGCGGCCATGAACACACTCTTTAATTTCATTTCCAAACTGGTGCTTCATCCTAGAGATAAGCTCTTGGATGTCTTCTCTTGGTAAGTACATGGGCAGCTGTCTTGAGAGACGGACTGCTTCCCCCTGTGAAAAGAAAAGGAACACATTTTATTCTGATCGACCCTGAAGAAAAAACACATTATTCTGGTAGATAAAAACTGATTTTCATTCACTGAAAAATAACAATTTAATTAATAACAGTTAATGATGCTGCAGACTCTGGAGACTGAACACCAGACCTCGTGAAGTTTACACCCCAATGCAGAGAAACAAAAGACTTGTGAGTAAATGCCGTATACAGGGTTAACTGGGCAAGGGCAGTGATTGTGCAAATGGGAAGCCAGCTCAGAGGATGACATTTAGGCTTTTCAGTTAACATGCCAAGGTCATGAGCAAAGTGAAGCATTTCAGAGAAGGAAACGTTCTGTGGGTGTGGTCCAGAGAGACAAGACAGAAGTTAAGCAGGCACCGGGTCACCCTCCAGGACAGGAACTAGAGATGAAATAGAGCCTGCCAAGTATTTCCCATGTCGTGGAGCGTTCTGGCTGCAGGGGGAAACAGGGTTTGAGGCTGACAGCCACTGTGGGTGCTGTGGTTGTCTGCCTCAGGAGGTCGGTGGTGTGGCTAGGAGGCCTGCAGAACCAAAGGGAATGTCCTCAGGTTTGGTGCAGAAATGCTGTTTTCTGATTCAGGAAGGAGAAAGGTCTAAGGAAACAGCATCATAAATAAGACTAGCATTCTTTTAGTATTAAAAAAGAAATCTTGCCCCTCGGAGTTGTTACATTTTAACATCACTCAGCCACAGGCCCCTCACCCTCCCAACCGTTCCACCCTGTATTCCAACAGAATCTGTCTTTCCTTCCCTTTGACCTTTAACCCCTCCTTACTCTCAGACTCACTGGCCTCCTTGGAAGTTCATTCCCTCCCTCCCTCCCGAGGCTGAGTAGTGAATTCAGCATCCAGTGCTAGGGCTGACTTAGCGAATTCCTGGAATACAGTGTGTTCAGGTTTCTCTCCCTGCTCCTCGGTCCCTCTCCATATCCAACTTGTTAATCCTTAGCAGAGGGTAAACCTCCCGGACACCCCTGGAGTCAAGCAACTGCTGTGGTCGGACACAAGCCCGAGGTCAGGTCCTACGCTCCCACGGCACCTGGGCACGGCTGCTCCCCACGGGATGTCCTTTCTTTTATTGTCCCGTTTTCTTGCTTTCAGATCCCAGATGCCCAGTCTCTCTACCCCTCCACTCGCAGCCAAAGTCGTACATCTTCTCCTTCACCTCAAAAGGTTTCCTTTCAGCTGGCCTTGGTAGTGGACACTTGTGACCCCAAGTACTCGGGAGAGCGAGCCAGGAAGACTGGGGGGAGGAGTCTGAGAGCAGTCTGAGGGCTACACGGTGAGGTCCCAAAACAAACAACAGAAGACCTCCCCACACACACACAAAGGAAAAACTATTTTTCACTCTTTTTGGCTCTTTATTCAGAGACCATGATGTATGTCCTTTCTAACGCTTCTCTGCCACACTACAATATTTGGTTTTTTCCAAACAGGACTTCTCTGTGTCACCCAGGCTATCACAGAATGCAGTCTATACACCAGGCTCGCTTCTAACTCAGAGATCGCCCTGCCTTTCTCTCTCTCCCAAGTGCTGGCATTAAAGGTGTGTGCCTGGTCAACTTTTTTTTTTTTTTTTAAAGACCATTCCCCGAAACAACCATACCTAGTTTCTCCAATGTAAAACCATTCAAGTCTGGTCTCAACTGCTACTTTCTCATTATTCCTGAAACCTTACTTCTTATCCAAGGTTTTTTTTTTCCCCCTCTTAAGAAAAAGACTTCTTTGGAGTTCCCTAAAACAATCAGTGCTGAATTGCCCTGGCAACTGGCTGGGAATTTCCACAAGACAAGTTCCTAAGGGGTCAGCAAAGCTGGTCTAAGCATCCTCTCCAGTCACGGGACAGGCCTGGCCTGTGTCTGAACACCGCAGACGAGAGAGAGGGTGAAAACCAAGTCCAGGTTGGTCTGGGACATAACGAGAGACACAGTCATGGCCCTGAATCTGTACTTGGATAGGCTTAGCCCTCTTTTACATTTGACTTCTGAGACAGGGCCTTTAGTCCTGCTGACTGCAAACCTGCGATCTTCCTGCTCAGTCTTCTGAGTGCTGGGAGGGCAGGCACGCCACCATCAGACCCAGCTGCGCTGAATGCGCTTTTTCAACCTAATTTTGCAATTCTCATTTTGGTAGATGCTATGTGAAGTGTTAGCAAAGTAAAACTTCCATTCGTTCAACAATTCAGCCTCATTTATTCAATAGTTTAGAGCTTTTGCTTCCTTTTGAAGAGCTCAGGGTTTAGAATCATACTACGATGTTTCTGATGAATAACATGGCATAAAATTTGAACAATTTGGAAACCATTCTGAGATTAAGAGAAAACAGCTCTACAGAACGTTTCATAAATAAAACTGTATTATAAGGATCTCTCATAGCATTTATCACAGCCTATGCGGTGAAGTATTTTTACTGAGTTTTTTAAAGTAGCAATTTCTTTGTGAAAATAAACATTTCAGAATCTGCTCTTTTAATCACTGACTACTGGGCTAAGTGGGTGGCCCAGCCCTTTAGTCCTAGCCGAGGGTTAGGAGGGAGGCAGAGGCAGTGGATCTCTGAGAATTCAAGGCCAGCACGGTCCACAGAGTGACATCCAGGCCAGCCAGGGACACAGAGTGGGACCCTATCTCAAAGCAAAGAAAAACAAAGCTTCTCCCTGGTTAAGAGCATGTGACCGTGAGACGCACCTCCAGGTAACTCGTCACCTTCCGGGGTCTGCACTGGTAAGGCTCCTTCGCGTTTCTGTCTATTATGGCGTTAAGGATTTCCTTTAAATCCATGACTCCATAGAACGGGAGACACTTAGCCATGCCTTCTATTTCCAAGAGGTTTTCAGTACTGGAAACTCCTGAGAAAAAAAAACAAAAACACAGGGGCACAGCTGAGCTGCTGGTTAAAATTATATTCCAGAACATACCCATTGGAAACAAAAATCACTGTTAGAACGTTTAGTGACCCTTGACCGGAGTCTAATATTTCAGGACAAAGCTGTGCTGCTTCCTGGAGAACAAATAATGACTTCCCAGAAGCCTTCGGTTAAGTCATAGGTGCTCAGCGACCCCACATGCGCCTTATATAATTTAATTTAATGTCGGTTCCCACCGGTCTGTTCCTCGCATTTGCTTAGAACATTGCTTACTTTGGAGACAGCATGAAGTCCCATGATATTTATTAAAGTCAAAATGGTTTAAGTGTTTTGTCCACTGCTGTACTTCAAGTTCTAGCGCACTAGCCTGATATCTAACTTAAAGACCTCGACGATCTTAACTTAGCAAGAATAACAATAGACCCCGTGTCTTGTTACTGTAGGATTTCAGGAACTAAACATGCTAGTGTTTATTCGGAGATTCAACTAAGGAAACATCAGAAACTGGTGTTCTCTATGAAGATATTTTAGGTAACTTAGTCATTATAGCTGAAGGCCACATGACTGGATGTGTAATTGGGTAGAACATCCACAGCAGGGTATGTTCCAAAGCATCGGCTTTGACACTAGAGAAGTCACTCATCCTGTTTGGACAACAGCGGCCTTCATGCCGGGATCCACAGCGTGTTACCTACAACTGTGCAGTAACGGCTGCTGCTGAACGTACAACAACAGGAATCGGGTAAACCTGCAAGGCTGCAGCTCTAGGGACCTGGCCAATCTACGCTCAGTTATCTGCCCAACGGTAGATGTCACAGCGCAGATCGAACCGTTTCCCCAGGAAATAACTGAGGGAAGAGGAGCTGACGTGTCCCCTAGAGGGGGTGAAATGTGTCTGAGGACACAGGTGGACTCGAGATCACCAAGGCAGGTGAGGGGAAGGGGGGACGGCTCATCCATCCTTCCTAGATACTATAGAGATGTGAAGAAAAGGTACCTTCCAGCAACACAAACTAGAGAAATGGATTGAGAAGTCTCTCTCACTCACTCTCTCTCTCACACACACCCATTCTTCAGACTTCCAATTTTCCAATAGGAAGAAGAGGCCACAGGACCCCAGGAAAAGCTCTCTATGAGGACTAGAGGAAGGGAGTGCAGCCCGGGTGAGGTCTGAGAGGGGGGGTGGGGCCAGAGGAGGATTTAAACTTGGAGTCACACTATGTGGAGTACTAGGCTTCCTTTTCGTTTGTTCGCTTTGTGTTAGGGGACAGGTCTCCCTGTGTAGCCCAAGACCGCTTTAAACTCACTATATACATCAGGCCAGCCCTGAATGTGCAGCAGCCTTCCTGTCTCGGCCCCTCAAGCCGTGACAACAGGCATGCGTCATCATGCCCAGCCTCGGCACTGATTCATGTTACCCAAGGGTTTACACTTATTTTGTGAAGTTAATACGCTGACTTTAATGAAGGGCTGTGCAAAAAAAAATTTGTTAAGGGGGTAGACTCTCGAGGCAGGCTGTGTGGGCTTCAATCTAACACCAAGTATCTTGTAGATCCAACTCAAATTTCTGTGCTTCAGTTTTTTCATCTGTAAAGCGGGGACTGACAGAAGCTCCCCTGGAGGCTGGAGGAGAGTAACGAGCTGATGCGTTAATTCTTTGATGGGCTCGCTGCACGTAACGGCCACTGGGAAGTTACCGCTGTCATCAGTGAAGAATGTGAGGATGTGTGCTCTGGACACACAGTCTCCACCTCAACAGAGCAGCTGGAACCACGGAGCTGAGGCGTGTCTGGGAGGCATCTTTACCTGGTCAGGCTGGGGAAAAACCAAGCAGACAGCCAGCTCTGTGCGTCTGCATACTATTGGTACTTATTTTCTTTCTAAAATTCCTTGTTATTATTTTATGTGTATGTCTTGTCTGCATGTATGTCTGTGCACCGTATGAAGCCTTGCACGAGGAGGACAGAACAGGCTGGGATCCCCTGGAACTGCAGTTAGATAGTTAGGAGCTGCTCTGTGGGTCCTCGGGAAGGGAAGCCAGCGCTCTTAGCCACTGAGCCCTCTCTCCAGCCCCCACTTACGTCTTCTGCACCTATGTGAAAGCATTTCTTTAAGAATCCTTCCCCACACACACTGGCTGTGACGCTGTGGCGCTGGACGGGAGACAAGGGAAGGGAGGGACAGGCTAACCCGGGAGCTACAGCAGCACGGGAACCAGAAAAAGACAGAAGGCTAGGTGAGAAAACTGGACTCCCCGAGGCAGACACAGCCTTTCCCATCTATCTGGCAAAGCCATGGAGCCCTGACATTCGCGTGAGGACAGTCGATCTCCATGTCACTTGGTAAAACAAGTCAACAGCTTCAAACAGCGAGGGAGACGGCCACCTCATCCGACATCCCATTATCCCACATGTCTGTTCTGACGTCAGAGAGTTCTGATCGCTGAGTTACAGCGACAAGACAAAAAGACAAGAGGAAGCCGCACAGCGATGGCCCGCACGGCCCGCTAAAGGAAGTCCACTTCCGCACGCCCGACGACAACTTTCAGCAAAATGAAAATACACCCGGAAACCGTCCAAGCCAAGTGCAGATCTCGGGAGGAGGCTTTCCAAGTCAGAGACAGTATTTTCAAGTGAACCCAGCACTGTACCTGGTATCAGCCTGATCTTGAAGCCATTTGCTGTCAGACGAGGGTCACTCAGGTAAGTTGATCCACCGTATCGCTGGTCAACTGTCGACATTTTATGTAAAACCTCTAAATAATGAGACCCATTAAAAAGACTGAAAAAGAAAGAAATTATGGTTCTTTATGTTGAATATTCAGATTGAAACAAGAGGATTTATGGAAGCTCGTCCAAGGGTGACTTGAAAAGTGTCCCCATTACTCAAAGCACTCTGCATTCCGCTAGCACTGTATGAGAGGCCCACCGGAGAGCGTGCCCAGGAAGGCGGAAGGACAGACATAAAGAAAGGACAGCTTGTCTCTTCTGGAGTACTACAAACTCAAAGAGAAATGTAAACAGTAGTTCTCTAAATATAACACACACATCAAGTTACTCATGTAAGATATAAAAAAAACCCCACCCCATTTATAATGGAAAATATAATTAGTTCAGGCAACAATCACTAGCAGACTATCGGCTACTGGGTAGATAGCAGACAGAGGGGTATGGGAGCTTTGAGAGGGAGATCACTTTTGTCCAAAGCTGTGAACTGTGTTGAAGCGCACGGAGCACCTGACCGGGAACAAGTCGTACCAGAAAGAAGAACCTAAATCTCCTGTCTTCCTGCAGTTAACTTACAGCGAGAGACAGGGGAGGAACATGTTAGCATCATGTCAGGGCTGGAGAGACGGCTCCGTGGGTAAGAGCACTGGCTGCCCTTCTGGAAAAGACTGGCTACTCACAATGGTCCGTAACTGCGGCTCTCAGGCTCTGACGCCCTCTCTAGGCATCAGAAGGCAGCCATCACGTGTAAATTATGCACGTGCGCGAGCACGCAAATAAAACAGATCTTAAAGAGAAAAAGCCAAACCAAAAACCCTGCTGCCCATCAGGATGTAAGGAGACAAGAAAACACTCCACTGACTGCTACACAGTAAATCAATCAGACAATAAAAAATAAATACAACCAAATGCCATATGGAAAGAAATTAAATTCAAAATTGCAAAACTAAAAAACAAACCCTTCAAAACAACGAGGAACGATTCTCAGCTATTATTATTGAGTAAGGTATGAAAAAGACACTTGTGATTAGGTTAGAAACGGACCACCTGCATGAGTGTATGAACGGGCTAAGTAGGACCTAGTCTCACACGCCTTAATGAGAGGAAACGTGTCTCTATACACACATATGGGCAAAAGTCTTGGTGACGGCTGCTAAAGGTGTGATTCTACTCGGGCGTGTGTCTGACGGTGTCAGAGCAGGGTAACAGCACAGAAAACCAACTCTAGCTTCCAATCCCCCTTGAGACGTCACAAGGTAGCGGAGAAGCGAGCTTGGGATTTACTGAGTCAAGATGTGAGCCCCTTAGATCTTCCAAAATCATTTCTAAGCAACCGGCAGCACCACTAGAGTTTAGGAAACCCTTCTCAATATGCCGTCAAGTAAAGACCACTTACCCCTACTAGAAAAGACCCCTCAGCTTCTAGCATGAGACATTACAGCTAAAAACCCTCTTGCTCCACCCTACCTCTCAGTTAACACAATTGGCTTTTCCAGGGGCTCTGCGGGGAGTTTATGATTCTCAAGAAGTCTCTTAAACAGCAGGGCTTCCTCCACTCTGTACGGGTTCAGTAACATGACATCTCTTCGGGACGTGACCAGCCACGCATCAGGAAACTTGAGACCGTGGATCAGGCAAATCTCATCCTTCTCTTCTAAGTCGGCTTCCTTCTGCTTCCTGAAGTTCACTTTTAAGTTCTCCATAGAAAAGGGGACCTCCGCTATTCTGATGTTTTCACTCCTCCTTTTCTCGTTCTGGGACTGGAAGAGCTCATCGAGCTTCGGCTGGTTAGACAGCGAGGCTTTCAGCTTGTGCTTCTGCGCCGAGCCCCATGCACTGGTGCCCCTTATCTTTTTTCTGCCATCTTTGAAGGCTACTGGTGGTTCCTGCTCTACAGCTCTCTTCATTTGATTATTGTATCGTTCCAAGTCTTTCTTAGCCTTTTCCTCATACCTAAGAGCAGAGAGGAGACAGAACGGATGAGCTCATAATAAAAACGCAATAGCCATCTGAAGCAAATTATATTAAAAGTAAGGAGCTGTTATTCACTAATGACAAGAAAATGTGTATTAGAGTGACCCTCCTGTGTGTGCTTACGAGAAACTCCAAACAGAGCACAGAAATTGGCTCCTGAAGAGCGGTCAAAGGCAAACGGGAAAGCGCTGGCGTTTGCGTTCACAGAGTTCTTATCCAGCATTAGAGGGCAGGAGCGTCAGGAACTCAGCTAGAAGATGGCACCGACTACCCTGTGTCGTCAGAACACAGACCTCTGCTTCCAGAACAACTTGAAATGGAGAGAAAATCCCATGTGTGGGAGCTCTCAGAAAACATTAGGAGGCTAATGAGCTGAACAGAATTCCCAGCCCCTGCAGTGCAGGGGGAGCAGAGATGGGTGTCCAGGTTACATGCGGAGCTTGGTAAACACGGAGGGCTTTCAATTAAAACTGGAAGGAAAAACCCTGCACCCTAGAACTGAGTAAATCTCACCATCATTCAATGCAAAACAAAACCCCACAAGTTCAAAGGCTTCTTAAATAAAATCAACACTGTTCAGGAGTGAACAGGCATCACCCACAATGGCCAATTGCACAATTAAAAGTCACCATCCAAGAAACAAAAAAGAAAAATGTGAGTCATGGCCAAGAGGAGAAGATGTCAGGAAAAACCACCTTCAAAGTGACGCTGATTTATAATAAATAAAGTTTTGTATAAATGTTTTGGGAGACTGAGACAGACAGAAAGGGAAGCTCAGGTGAGGAGCAGAATCTATACGCGTACAAAGAAAGATGTGGATGGTCTAGAACTAAAACAGTATATAGGATGGAACAGAAACTGCGCAGATTTAACTACACAGCAGAATGGAAACACAAGGGCCAGTGAACCTGAAGGCAGAGTACAGAAATGACCACCATGAGAAAGAAAGGAAAGGGACCCATGACCACGGAAGCAGCCAGGGGCTTGTGCACAAGCATCTCAACACATTAAGTCTCATTTATTTTTTAAATAAAATTACATTTGGTGAGGAGTCTATGATCTATGAGATGCAAGTCCAGGCAGGTTAAATGCAAACAAAGTCTGCCAGATACACCAGAACCAGCTGGTGAAAACCAAAGACAAATCCCCCAGATCAGTCAGTGAGAAGGACACCAAGTAGACAAGCAATGCTGGCTCAATGTGGCGTCATTTACGAGGCGAGAAAGCCCATGATTCAAATCTGCCAACCACAGATATCCTTCAAAGAGAAGATTAAACAGATAGCTTCAGATAAAAGAAGTTTTCTGCTAACATAATTGCACTCTTAAAAGAGTAACATGAACATGAAAGCAATTACACCCGGGGGCTTTTAGGTTCGATGGGAGCCTAATTTAACTGATTTAACTGAAGTACGATAAAAGGATACATGGTGAGCTTACTAAGCAAAGCAAACAGTAATACAAATTAGATGTCACAATTAAGTCATTTAAATCTTGAGTACCTCTACAACTGCTCCAAGGAAGACAGGAACAGACAACAGGAGGCAGGGCAGACTGACTGCCAACAATATCAATTATTCTAATATTTCATAGACCAAATCTAACTAAGGGACAGAATACCCAACTTTTGTAACACAGATGGCACAAAAGAATGAAAAGATGTATACGCTATACAAACAGAGCAAGAAAACGGAGGCTGCCAGGTGGTGGCGCACGCCTTTAATCCCAGCACTCTGGAGGCAGAGGCAGGCGGATCTCTGTGAGTTCGAGGCCAGCCTGGTCTACAGAGTGAGTTCCAGGACAGCTACAACTGTTACACAAGAAAACCTGTGTTGAAAAACTAAGAAAAAAAAAAAAGAAAGAAAATGAGGCACTGACATTAGGTGAAGCAGATCAGAATGCCAAGTTATCAGAGATGAAGGGGTCACTAGGGAGCTTCACACGTACATGTGTGCGCCTTTCTTCTCTTCATCAGTATCAGAAACAAACTGAAAAATGTCAGAAAAATGACAGATCTCAGTAACAATGCCAACCACTTCAACTTGAATGATTGGGAAAAATTCTGATTCTTTATATGTTAACCTGGATCATTTTCCAGGACGGGAAATAAGATGAGCCAGACACAGTGAAAGGTGAGTGAAATCTAACAGATATTTTCTGTTCACGCTAAACCAGAAACCAAGTTTATTGTAAAAAGCCTCCAATACCTGAAAACCAACCAACACAACAACACTCACAATTAGACCAACAATTAGACGGTGAATCAACAAGCCTTATTGTTCTTATAAAACTAGACATTACTGCTGTAGGTAAATGCTACCCAATTTAAAAAATGATTTAACGTGCAGCGTATGCCCACAGTGCTGGAACTTAGAAGGTGGAGGAAGGAGAATTACAAGGCCAAATTATTTTATAGAGCAAATTGCATTTCAAAATCAAGTGGAGAACAAAAATACGCATAATAAAGCCATTCCAATGGCATATGGAGTAGAAAGCACACCGTTTAATCCATCAAGTTAATGGTAATTTTTCTATCCTCACTTAACGTGATCAGCTGATATGCAAATTCCAATAAATCAAACAAATGTAACCTATGAAATTCAACTGCAACTGTATAAGCGATGGGTATTTCAATTCTAGTAGGTAAAAAGTTAGCGGGCTTTCTTCTTTTCTCAGTTAGATCGAGTTAAAGGAAGCTTCTGTAGCCAAAGGCAGTCCACTACAGTGGCATCGCCAAGCACGCTGTGAGAAACTGAGATGCCTGGCTTCCAAGCTCAGGCCCCTCTGACACTTAATGGCTCTGCTTTTAAACACGATGATTCTGTCACATGAGAATTAGCTGCTGCCTTGTTCACTTCAGGAAGCAGTGCCCAAGGGACCATGGAGATTAGAGACCCTGGTGGCCTGTTTGGTGGATTTCTGCTGCTCAGAAACCACGTAAACTTAATGCAGAGTATTTTGTTCTGTCCCGCAGGGTACTTATTTGTATTATGTGGGCAGTTTACAGCCAGTACGTAGCTCTGTAACCAGGAAGGAGCTGCTTGGTCCACTGGAAAAGGTGAGGCTCGCTCTAAGTTTCTACCAAGAAGTCCAAGTCCTGGGCTGGGGCTGTACTCAGTCGGGGAGCACATGTTTAGCACAGGCTAGGTTGGGGTCAATCCCCAACAAAACACAGTCCTGGGTTGGGGCTTTACCCAGTGGCGGGGCTCATGTGTAGCACACGTTAGGCTGGGTTCAACCCCCAACACGACAAACACGGAAAGAAATAGAGACACGAATCCCCCAGCTTGAATAGGACATCTGATGGAAGGTTAGTTATTCAGTGACACTGATACATGTTTCAGATTAAGTTTGGCATTCGGAACTAGAGAACTAAGATTATTTCTGGTCTTGTAAGAAGCAGGCTTAGAATTTACGGGATGTTGCTTGTATGTATGCGATAAAGTGAGGCTAGGAAACAAGAGACCCCAGCACAGTGTGCTTCACAGTCAGAGCATGTTTCTGGATAAAGACATGCCACATTACTTGGATAAGACTGCACAAAGGCCTGCTTCATTGGAAGCTAGACCAACAGTTAACCATTTGTTTCTCATACTCACACCTTCCAAAGTTATCATCTCCGAAGTGGACCCAGAACACGAACATAGGAGTTGGTTAAACAAAACACATGATCTTTAATAGTTCACTTTTGCAGGCACTGGCAATAAGTATATTTTTAGCATTAGACACCAGAACTCCAGACTTTTCCTATGGGGTGGAAAATGAGTTCAAGATAAAGGTCACCATTTGTAATTAATTATAATGTGCAAATTTCAGCATATGGTACTAATCTTTTGATTTATCCAAGAAGTCAATTTAATTTAGTTCCTTGGGAAACATAAAAAGTTATGTCCAAAATAATAGGAGGTAAATGTTAAGTAAGAGCAGCTGGTACCTCTGTGTGTAATGCCATTAAGGACCTTAGCAACTTCAATGGAAAGTATTCATGCTGATGTGACTGACCAGTCAGGTCAAGTGATGTTTCTGAAACTAAAGGCTAAACTTTAATTATAAAGTTTACCTATCATTTCCAGTAACATCCAAATTGCAACATCACTTAGTTGTTTTAAGTAGAAATAGATTTATATATTGCAAATGAAAGCTCAAATTAACACCACCTGCCTGAAGGACGCCCCCTCTGCAGAGTGGCTGGGGGAGAAGTACACGGCTCACACCCGGATTCTAACCCTCTAGAGAGGAGTGAGGAGAAGAAGAGGAAAGACCTAAGTGTTCCCTGCCCCGAGTTCATCCTCCTTTCCCAGCAGAGACTGAACTTCTGGCTGGCCCCGGGACCCTGCAGGACCTCCGGCTGGCCCCGGGACCCT